TATTATATTTTTTAATTTTAAGCTTTTCTTGAATTTTTAACCAAACTACTAGTATTTCCAGTGCAACGAAGTTCAGATGTTGCAAATATTTTATTCTATATACGGAAAAAACACATCAAATTTGTATGCTTACATAATATATTAGTGGCTAAGTTACATATAGTATATACATACATGCATATGTATAGCTTTTAGTTTAAGTAATGCGTATAAGCTTTGATAACGTCGTAACACTTGAAATATTTGCTGTTTATGTAAATACCGTTGTGCATACAGATCAAAGCAACTTCGATGTACATACATACATACATACATATACACATACACAATATTTACTGCTTTTGCTGTGTAGTATTTATAAATTTTTGAATTTCGGCATAAATTGTATGAAAAACACCATGTACGTTGTTATAGAGCCCACAATCTGAAAATTCGAAAATTGTTTGTATTTGTAAAGATTAATTGCTTGAAGCTGTTTAAAGAATATCTAATAGTTTTTGAGTTCTTGTGTTGAAGTTGAATACAAAATTATAATGCTATAACATAATAGGGGTTTTCACAACGATTTGTTGAGCTCTTAATTGAAAATTTTCATAAACATTTTTTATTTCATAAATTATAGTGTAGAGAAGAGGAGCAATAAAGGTCAAACCATTTTTTTTTTGTCATTTTTGGAGCACAACAATTATTATTCAAAAATTTTGGACAACCTAAGTGGTTCCAAAATGCAGTACATCATAGGCTGCCGTTGTTGCCACGACAGAAAACTTTGATCGTATTAAAATCTGAACCCGGTTCGGTTAACTAGACTCCACTATCGCGGCATTGTTATAACGTTGCTCGAAATTAGTCGGGAATACATATAAAATGAAATGTTTCCAATTACAATGTTTAGCAAATCTAAACAACACTTTTTCGGGACACCTACTTACTATAACTTCTTCAAATAATATCTAATGAGGAAATGAAATCTGGTGTGATAACCCCTAATGTTTCCTAGTTATTCTTTAGAATCGTAATTTCGGACTCAGAGCTGCAAAATTTTATGATATATTTTTGGTTTTAGTTTTGTAGTTTTATGTAAGTCTTCGTCCACTTAAATTGCTTTATTTTAATTTTTTTTTTGTAAACTTACACTGACTAGCATTTTTCCATCCAAAGCGGATATACCCAAACCATCAATACGAATTTTCTGATGTAAGATTTGTAGTGAGAAATTTTGTATCTGCAAATAAAGAATTCCATTTTAACACCAAATCTCAAAATAAAATTTGAAATATATAGAAAATTTGCAAAATTTTTTACAGCAAGCTCCTCGTAAAAGAACGCTTTGTTAATATACCGTCATAAGATATTTTTCTCTTACTTTCTACAAGACGCGCACACAGTTGGGCTCATGTTCCACAAGTTTATAAGCAGACACCCTCTCGCACCCATTCAATCGCCGAAACTCGATCTACAACAATCCCATACTGAGCGAATATTTGTAGATAAGTCATTTAGTCACGTACTACTCAATCTATTCCTTACTGCATACGCTTTACGGAAGGCTTATTACTGTGACTAGTGAAAAGTTAATGAAATAAGCATTTTGGCACAATGAACATTTCCAAAGCAATTCCTGAACAAATTAGAGGTACCGCCCTCTCGAGTACCTTATAAGGCACCCTCAGACCGGTGATGTTGCAAGAAGCAAATGTGATTCCAGTTCTATAGTTGGTAAAACTTCTCAAACTGAGAAAATTTGGAACGAACACCATCCTTACGCTGAAGCCAATTCACTAGAGGCTCGACTACTGATATAACAAACTCAAAATTCTTCTCGCTTTGGCATAAATTCCGCAATAATCGCAGTAGTATCAACTCACGAACTCAAACTAGAGCGTCTTTTTACATAAAACGTTGTGATACCCCCACGAATTTCAAGATCCTCATCACCGTCACTCAAATATAAGCAACTACCTTCGTTTAAGCGAAGTCCCAGTGTCCTTACTCTGAAGTCTACATTCACCCAAAATTAGATTATAAAGGCCACTTCCAGGTGAAGACACCCTCTAGACCTGAATGGAGCAAATGTTTAGTAGGTCCAAAATGGACTGCGAGGTAAGTGAGTGGATAAACTCCTCGGTATCCATCTCTGTATACGACTATTAAACTCTCAAGGTATAGAGCGCGTGGTGCTATATTGAATAACTATAAGAAGATTAGAAAGCAACCATAAACATGGTTAGCCAGACTGCACTGCTGGCTTTATTTACGTCACTTATTAATTCCAGAGTGGATGATGGCTGAAAAGATTACGCTCACTGGCGAGTCAACTCCACTTGCCCTTAATTTCTGTTCTCAGCCAAAGAACATTTTCGGTAAAGAAAAAGCAGAAGAGTTGACCAAACAAAGAGTCTCTTTTTATCAATAACCAACTGCAAGATAACGAAGCAGATATGACCAAAGTATGATAAGACTAGAAAAACGGGTTTATTACGTAGATGCAGGAATAGTATTTTCAGACTAACAGCCTCTTTAATAGCTATAACGGGGTAATAGCCGTTTGGAGAACACGTGCTAAAAATGAGTCTGCCCTATAAACATATTTGCCGCAACTACTAGCTATATGAATGCCCAGCTCTAGCACATATACACAGTTCTTGGAACACATCAGGTTCCAAACTTTGAATGGCTGTCTCGAAAAAAGCATAACGAACTTAAGCAGTTTTATTGAAAGCACCAAACAATTTGAACGGAACGATAAAAATCAATATTATAGAAGTCTGACTTTGTCTCAGATTGAAAACCTCCATTTGTTTTATGCAAATGTCTAATACGAATTTCCCTTCCCTTCCTTAAATAAATTCCGATGTGGGATCGTCCAGGGTTCTTTTTTCAAGCGCAGCCGAAGGGCGTCAACGCAAAATGGAGTTATACGCGACAAAACTGAGGACACTCCGGTGTTGAACCGGAACCTTCTCTTTTTTAAAGCGCGCCCATGAGAACTTTGATTTTGGGAATTCAAATTGAATCTTATCAAAGTTTCAAAACATTTGTGCGGGAGTCTTCAGGAAGTTTATACTTTAGATATTTACGTCAAATAAATACCTGAATCGATATAAGTGAGTTATCCACGGAGCTCCGAATGTTATGCAGTTCAAATGCTATGAACTTCACCTGAAGAAAATTTCGTGAAAATAATTTCAAAAACCATAAAATAATACAAAGGTGTATATACATATACCTCGTTCATGCACTTTTGTGAGGTCAATAGAAGTGCTGGAATCTCTAAGTATGCCGGCAGCAGCAACAAATTTTCTGTAAAATGATAGAGAAAATTAAAAATTGTCAATAAATCAGAAAAAATGTCGTAGACATATTCAAAAATTGCATTTTTATCTGGTCTAGATAACCTATAAATAAAAAGAAACACTCTTGAAAAATATTTAAAGGTCGACGGCGAGGTCGAGGTCGAAGTCGATGTTGAAATATTAAATACTCTTGTCGTCTTCAAATTGCAGTAAGAGACACAGCCACTGTTAGGTCAATGGGAACCAACAGATTTTGAAGCCTCCTAAACTGATCTCGATACCACAAATGTATAATGGACATACATACATTATCGAATTCTTCTTCTTCTTCTTTACTGGCGTAGAAACCACTTACGCGATTATAGCCGTGTTAACAACAGCGCGCCAGTCGTTTCTTCTTTTCGCAAGGTGGCGACAATTAGAGATTCCATGCGAAGCCAGGTCCTTTTCCACCTGGTCCCTTCAACGAAGTGGAGGTCTTGCTCTTCCTCTTCTTCTTCCAGTGGGTTCGTTTGGCATGGTCGTCATCAAAGGGAGGGTCTCTCATCGGCAGCTGTTTTTGACTTTTCATTGGGGGCGTTTGCTAAGTGGCGGGTCCCAAACCCAGAGGGGTGCTTCGCCTTCTCACTTTAGCTCGCCTTCAAACAGATGTTCTTAGGTTACCCAGAGGATACTTGGTCAAAGACCGGAAATCGTGTGCTGCTTGAGCCATATGTAAAAGAATCGTTTCTGGCCACTCCCAAGTGAATGGCGATCAGAGAACTCTCCTCACTTGCGTGAACTTTTACACATGACTCCAGCCTCCAGGTTATTGAATCTACACTAGAATAATCGCTTAACTGAAAAAAAAAATATTCGGCATCGCCTAAAGAACTCAAAATAAAAGAACTAAAATCCCAATACACTGAAACCTTGTCGAAACATAAGGAAAGAACATAAAAGTTTAGAAATATATAATTTCCGTGAGTACCTAAAATTTGCCAGCCGGAACTATAGCTCAAAAACATGAAGTACGCATCGACGACCACTCGCACATAAATCATCAGCAGCACCGCCATGCTTGACATGCTGAAGGCACGCTGAAAGTCGTAAAGCATCTCGTAGATGCGTTGATAAACCAATTGCTTCTCAGCCAACTTGTGACGCACGTAGCGTTCGAAGCCCGCGAAGGGCACAATGAGTCGGGAAAAGCTGGTATACGCCGCCAGCAGGCCGATATCGTGACGCAACTTCTTCAGTTCATGTCGTATAATTTCGATATGTAATATTATCTGCATATTCCGAAAATGTGCCATATACATGAAAGGTGTAAACATCGTCCAAAACAAGAGCAAATTTCGATTGGCTGGACGCATGATATGGAACACTACCTCGATGGACACGTCAAATAATGTAATGCCGTAGAAAATACACAGGAAACGTCGATATGTCTTCAACTGGACACGCCAATTGTCGTTACTACTTTTGAATTTATCGGCGTTTATTTTATTTAGCAACGCGTATCTTTGCCAAAAGTTCCGAAGCGCATGACGGCCCAACACCGTCTCCATATAAATGATGAAAACTGTCAGCTGGGCAATGCATACCTTCAGGACATCATTGAAATAGCCGAAACGATTGGCGGTGTAGAGAAATTCAGTGGGTCTCAGAAAGGTGTTCACCGTCGTTACGAAAAATAAGAGCAAGAGAAGTAATGTTAAAGTCACCAGCCGCTGTTCAGTGACTCTTTGAACTTTTGCGTGTCCGTGCAGAGAGACGTCGAAACAACCGATTAATTGAAAGAAACGTATATGTAGACGCACAACGGAGGGCACTTGTATAGTCATTGCGAAGCTTTCAACTGAACTGTGAGCTGTGTCGTGGTAAATTGGAAAGTGTCATGAATTCATCGAAGGATGTCATTGAGTGATAAGGCATTGTAAATGAGTGAAAGGACATTTCTCACAACTGATTGATACAGTTGGTACGATTGATAAATATGCATAAATAAATCTAAATAAATCTATTTATTAGTAACAGAAGATTTTTTTGATAAATTGAAGTAATAGTTAGTATACGAATATCTATGCACAACAAGAATTTGTTTACAGATTGTGCCGTTGAAAATAATCGACTAGATGTAAAATCGTAAAATAAAGAAGCTTGCCATAAAGGATTTGATCTTGACCAATCAGTTTGTAAGGAAGCTAAATGCTTTAATAGTCCGATCTAAACCAAATTTTGTGAAGATATCTCGTCAAATAAAAAGTTATCTATAAAAGAACATGACCTTTATCGATCAGTATAGCAAACATATGCTGTAGAGATGCGATTTCACCAAATTTTGGAGAGAGGTCACTTTTAAGTTGAACTTGACAATATCAGGTTCCAACAAGACGAAAAATTTAGAGATTCGATTATTTCAAGGAACTGTGGCATTGAATTGCTTCCAAGAAGTTGTAATTTAACAATATTAGGCTTCTTCTTGTGGGGTTATTTGAAGTCACTGTAACTAATTAATTCTTCAAAATCTATTTGTTCCCCTCAAAGTAATCCCCCTTGGTCCCAATACACTTGTGCCTTTCACTCAAATGATATTAATTGTTGACAGTTTGGTCGGTCGGAAGAAATTCGGAGTCACCACACCTCGATAATCGAAGAAAATTGTCAACATAACCTTGTTTTTTTTACCTGCTTTGATGTGGTTTTTTCGGATTCGGCTCACCTTTGCCAAGATGTTCGGCCGTTTGATCATCTGTTACCGTAAGTATAGATCCAAAACTCATCGTCAGTAATAGTACGTTTCATGATATCCTGGTAGTCCTGCGACGGTGTTTGTCCAAATAAAAATGATTGATTCTGGAACCAATCGAGCTTTCACTTTTCTGAGGCTGAAATGAACTTTCAAAGTAGTTTTCACTGATTCTGACTACTTCTGATACTCCAATGATGCCAGTAAGATATCTGATTGTTAATCATTGATTCTCAAGTACCAATTCCTAAATTTTATTGACGTGTTGATCATCAGTTGATGTTGATGACCATCCTGAACGTGGTGCGTCGTCAACACGTTCTCGACCATCTTGAATAATTTACAGCAATCAAAAACGTTTTTTCGCTATAAATAATTATCACCGGAGGCCTTTTTCTACATTCTGAACGTTTTGGCACCAGAAATTTGATTTTGCATACAAAATTTATTGGAACTTCTTCAAACTCAAACTTTTAACTTAAATTAAAAAATCTTACTATTTTTTGCCTACAGATTGTGGCTTCACATCAAATTATAAAAAAAATTTGAATTTCCTTAACAACTAGTGTTTTTGTTTTGTTTTTTTGTTTAAAGAATTCATATCACTCTTATTGTAAAATCCTGTAGTGTAGTCAATATTACAAAGTACTTCATTATGACTCAAAACCCTATTTATGTACACACAAATTTATGGCATATGGAGGCAATTGTGGGTTCAAAACTTAAAAAGGCCGCTGTCTAACTTTATATTAGACGAATCTGTAAATCTGAGTAGACCTCCACTTATCGAATAAATATAAGATTGACAGATTTCAAATTAGTAACTTTTCATTACATTACCTATATACTCAGGCTGACTTTCCGTGTGAAACGAGTACAGCGTGAAATATGCGTCGACGACTAAACGGACGTACGTCATGAGAAGGACAGCAATCGTTGAAATGCCAAGGGCCTGTTGAAAGTAGTCGCACATTTCATAGATACGTTGATATATCAGCTGCTTCTCAGCTAGCTTTTGACGCACGAAATCTTCGAAACCCACGAAAGGCATTGTGTTGCGTGTAAATCGGGTATACTCCGCCAGCAGGCCAATGTCGTGGCGCAATTTCACCAGTTCATGATTTATAATCACAATATGGAATATGATTTGCATATTCCGTAAATGTATCATATAAGTATAGGGTGTGAACATAAGTAAAAACTGTAGCATATGATCGTCCTTCGCACGCATCACATAATATATAATCTCTAAAATCAAGTCCAACACCGTTATGCCGTAGAAGACGTAGAGAAATCGATGATATGCTCTCAACTGTGAGTTCCAATCAATTTTCACTGGTTCAACTTGTTGATTTGATGCTGGATTTAGCAACGCATATCTTTGCCAGAAGTGTTGTAAGGCATGCCGCCGCAACACTGTCTCCGTATAGATGATGGCCACCGTAACATATGCTAGGCAAACTTTTAGCGCATCTACGAAGTAGCCAAAACTTTCACTGGTGAAGAGGAAAGCCGACGGATGTACGAAGGTATTAATGAAGACGAAAGAATATATTAACAAAACTAGAACGGTCCAGGCCACTAAGCGTTGTTCGGAAAGTCTTTTCTCTCGCGGCTGTGTCTGCCACGAAACATCGCAGCAGCCGATGATTTGAAACAATCTCGTGTGAAAACGCACCACGAAGGGAACCTGCTTGTGCATGACAAAGTTCGTAAAGCAACTGAACAAAGTCGCTGCGGTTATCGTAATTGACGGCTCATTAATCAAGAAATGCAAATAAACTTAAAAGTTCACTATTACAAGGAGGTATAAATAATACTGATACATGAAATACCCAAGAAAGATTATTTGCACTACAGCGCATTACATTAATTAGTCGCACAGTGGTGGAGTTCCTCAGTGTCTTACGGATAGGTCGTGTTGTAAATTAAGTTTTTTACAAAGTATCTGAAATATGATGAAAATTTTGATTCAGTGTTTTTCAATCAGATTTAGTAAGATACCAACCCAATTGATATTCAAATTGAATCGGGTGTAGGAAAGCGGAAAGTCGATTAAGATTAAAGCTCACAACAGTCTGAACGGGACAAAATTTATATGCGTCAAGGACTGCCATGACTGCATAATCCCTCAAATTGTTTTATGAAAATTTCATTGCAACCATAAACTTCTCTGACAGCTAACCCCCCCCCCCCCCCCCAGTCGATGTACTGCTTATTGGTTATTTGTAGATAACCGTTAAAAAATTTAAAGGCCTTTTACTATCCGCAACCTGTGACCTGTTCGGTTGCCTACAGATCGGCAGGGGCAGATTACTCTGCTAAGGAAACACCAACCGAAAGCCATACGCAGATGACCTTATTGTGGTAGCAGTGGCTAAATACCAGAAGGTCTCCGGAGCAAATGAAATGAGTGCATAAACGGTCTGTGCTAATGGTCCTGCTCAATGAGTTTAGAAATAGCTGAGCAAAAGGCAGAAGTCTTGTTCATAAGTACTAGAAAAGTGGAAAAATTATAGCTCTCATCATAGAGAAGTGTGAGATTTGTTCACAGCCCCAACTAAAGTATCTGGGAGTAATAACGGACTCAAAGCTCAATTTTATGGATCACCTAGAATAAACTGCAAGTAAAGCGAATAAAATCGTAAACATCTTATCAAGAATGATGGTAAATAAAGGCTGTCTGCGTTCCAATATGGCTCCCGCCGCTTTGAATTAAAGCATAGGCCAGATAAATATGCACAGGCTATCGGCACTAAGAGTTAACAGTTCTTTCCGAACAATATCAAGCAACGCTGCTTAGGTATTAGTCAGTATGAAGCCCATTGACATCCAGAGTGACGAATACGAGCGGATATACAACTTATCAGAACCGTCTATAAGAGCCAAAAGAGGTGAGAGAGTCAAAACCTTAACAATATAGCAGCAGCGGTGGCAAACCGCACTGAAAGGATGGTGGACCCACAGACTGATACCAGACATCCATTCGTGGATAGATAGACGACATGCTGATGTGGATTTCTATCTAACCCAAATAATAAGTGGACGTGAGAAGCGTTAGAAGCTACCTGTACAGATTCCAGTACGACATTAGTCTAAATTGTCCGACGTGTTCACAGTGCGTTGAAGACTCTGAGCATGTATTATTTTATTGTCCTCGCTTTTTAAGTACAAGGGAAAAACCTAAATACACTTGGTAGTAGTTTTACGGTGGAAAATTTAACGATACCCATGTATCAGTCCACTAAGAACTGGAAAACTGTCAGCAAAGCGGCAGCCTCAATCATGACAAAACTGAGACATATAGAGCAGAGTAGGTCAGTAGGCTTCCGTCAGTCCGTGCCATAGAAGAGACTTAACTGTCTTATCACATTATCACTTCGACGAAGTAATACTTCTTTAATAAAGAAATTTCTACGTGTCCGCGACCGGATATAGTTAACGATAGGTTATGTTCGAGAGATCCTCAATCCAACGGCTTTCTTAGTTATCAAGTCATGTTAAAAGTCGAATCAATCAGCAGCTTTTCAGATTATTAAATGGCTTTTCTTTGGCTTTGAACTGTATCAGCGAATTTGGATAAAGCGTGAAATTCCTCCGATCACATTTTTCAGTTTATTCATTTTGAGCTCTTATACCCTTCGATTAAAGTGACATGTAAATGTATATGTAAACATATTAATAAATTTGAACACCTGTTCGTGGCATTTAACACAAAACCATATTTTATAAAGCCAACCCACTGCCGTTGCTTCCGAACAGGCGTCGCCAGCGCAGCGTCGCTAAGTTTTCGTCAACCAACAGCGTTAGCAATTACTCAGTTAGTGTCAGAAAAGGGTGATTAGCATCGCGGACACACTTTTCGACCAGTGGAACGAACAATCAAATTAATGGAATTGCGAAATGAATTAATTTTTCGATTGCGTCGAACCAATCGCACAACGGCACATACGATTGTCAGTACGAAACTAACGCGCGGCTTTGCAAATCTTTGGGTTGCCAATAAAATAAGAAAACAACTAGATTTCGAGAGGTATAAGCCACTGTTGCATATGTAGATATGAAGCAGCGTAAGACCACCAGCACAAGCCTTCAGCAGCCGGTGCGATTGGATACCTTCACCTTGCTGTTACTGCGTCTGGGCCAGCTGTTCGGCCAGTGTGCTGTGCCATTGCGACGACGGTCTGACCTCGCCACGGTCAACCAACGCCCACAGCCCGACAGCGTGTGCCAGCAGCGATTCCTGTTGCTGTGGCATTGTTTGCATTTGATAATATTTTTCTGGGTGCACTTTTGGACAAGCGTCAATCACGATTCGATACTCTACAACAGTGATAGTTTCGGTAAATTTAATGATTTGCTCAAATTGATTGGCACAATCATATCGCATTTCGTAATACTCACCGAAACGATATTGTGTCGCCGCCAAATGCAACAGTTCCTCTTGGTCTACACACAACTCCATTACAAATGGCACGGTTCTGTTGGCGGCCGTGCCGAATTCGGTCTTTACCGTACTTTCTTTTGTCGAAGTAGTCTTTTCATTCTGACTGTGATTATAGTTGACGTGGCTTACATACAAGAGATCGGTAGAAATCGTATGTGGATAACATTTTTCGTACCCTTCATACCGAGTGGACTGATTTGTAGTCTTCGTACTGTGCAAATCACATTCTTTATGGAAATGTTGCGCATCGAGGTGGAACACTTGAATAGGAATGTTGAACGTTTGGTCTTATTTAGCGAACGCAGCTGTCGCGTTAAGTTTCAAAAGCGCGACGAATTCGTACGAAAAATATGTGCTGAGCTGCAGGCCTTCATGGAATGCTATCAGGATATATACGATATGTCTACACTCTTGAAAAAATCTGTGGGTAGGTCCATGACATGTAACTATATTAAGGATTATGTTATGATCTTATCCGAATGCTACTGGTCCTATTGGATGATTTACAATGGAGAGAATATTACTGGTAAGTCTTTATGTCTTGGCATAAATGGATCATTAATTATAAATTAGTATGGCTGGATGGAACTTTTTTGTAAATATTTACAATTGTGGTATTTTTTTTTTTGGGAGAATGGAGCCATGTACAGAAGTTCACGCTAGTGAGAAAAGTTCTCTTCACTTGGGAGTGGTCCGAAACGACTTTTTAACTTATGATTCAAGCAGCTATTACTTTCGGTCTTATACCAAGTAACCTTTGGGTAGCCAAAAAAACTTCTGTGTGAAGGCAAGCTAAGGTGAAAAAGCGAAACATCCTCTCCCCAGGGTTGTGCGTTGTGTTTAGGACCCGCTACATAAAAAACACTACCAATGGAAACAAGGAAACAGCTTCGGATTAAAAATCCTCCTCGAGAAAATCAAAAGTAAAGGAAGACTTCCACTCCACTAGTTGGAGAAGGACCTGGCTAGTCTTGGAATCTCCAATTGGCTACAAACAGAGAAAAGGAGAAACGACTGGCGCGCTGTTGTAAGCGGTGTCTACGCCAATAAGGAAGAAAAATATTTTTTATGCATTATGAGAATTTTATGAACCAAAACTATTTCAAGTCAGTCAAGTAGTTTTTGAGAAATGAGATTCAGTTTTGGAAAATCCTCTTCTGTTCCGAAAAACTTGTTCCATATTAAAATGACTGAGCGCCATCATCGGCGTCGATCAATATTTATATTTTTTTCGTATAATATAATATGTTGTATATTTTTACATGGCTGAGTGAAGAGAAATTTCTTTTTTTATTTCTTTCATTTCAGAGTACCTTCTTATTATTCCATCTGCCTTGTCCATTTTTTTGTTGTTAATAACGTCACGAAATTGTATGCGTTCGGTAGGTGGTTAATTTGACAATAGTTCGCTTACATATGAACATGTATAAATAATTAAAAAATTGTAAATTAAGTACTCCACTGCTTTTACTTTAATTCTCTATTTTCGACACAGACAAATTTCCTCGCACACAATATACATAAAATACGACATGACATTGAAGATTTCAACATTTCAACACGGGTAAGCTTCTTTTATAGATATATACATACATGTCGTTATAAATATGTATCACACATTCGTGTATATCTATGACGCCGCGGGCTATTCTGTGTACAATCACAACAAAATTAGTAATGAGACTTCACTATTTGAATTTTTAGTTACAAAGCTTTGCTTTGCAAATGCTTCACCAGCGGATCATCATCGACGGCTTTGGCTTCTTCGTGTTCAACTGCGATATGGCAAGAGATGTAAGTCCAGATACAAAAATTCTTTTGTGTAACAAGCAAATTAGAAAGCAAAAAAAAAAGCTTATTTTTTTCGTTTTTCAGATCCTTGGCTCAATAGCAACTTACATGATCTTCTTTATACAATTTATGCCCAAGTTCAAAAGCTTCTAAGCCGCTGAATTTTGATTATTAATGTATATACATGAGCGTGTATAACTTGGAGCCACTTCATTCCTTATTACTAAATATTAATAAGTTTAGGAAGAACAAATTTTTGAATTAGACGGATTTCAAAATTTATTTTGCTGGCATATTAAACAAAAAAGTTAATTACTAAATCTTTCACATAAAAAATAAATAAAAATAACAGCTTTAGAGACTAAGCCATCAGTCACAAGGTCATAGATAAAGGTTATGACCTATAAGAAAATTGAAAATACTACTGATGCCGATGCTATTGACCACCTAACATCGTATAATGACATTGGTAAGATGCCTTGAAATCCTTGACCGATGTCGAAAGTATTGAGCAAAGCGAGTGCTATCAAAATTTTATGCAGAGAAATAGCTTTTAAGCGACTCATTAAAATTATAGCAAATTAACTTCAACACCTGGACTGAGTACACCGGACAACAAATTATATGTACATGACATACAGCGAAGGGATTTTATTTGCTAACCTTAAAACAGAACATATTTTTCTTCACTTGAACATTCTAGATTCTAGATAAGCTTTACATATTTTTCAAAAACGAAAATACTATTTAGGGTATTCGAGAGTATTTGGTCCTAAGGTGATACATGGGTTTCTTCGGGTGAAAATAATATTTTTTCAACAATTTTTATCTCATATGAAAAAATGAAATATTTTATTAGAATTTGTTAAAGTGAAAAAATTCGCGTTTTAGTTAAAACCTTAACTTAAAACTAGGACAAAGAAAAAACTGAAAATTGGATTTATGGCAGACCTCGACTACACAAGTATCAAGGCTGTATCTCCGAAACTATTACTCGGATCAACTTGAAAATTTAGGACAATATAACAAAAATCTAGAGGTGTTGCAGAATTTAATAAGACAATAAAAAAGTTAGATTTTTTGAAACCCGTAAACCCATGTAACCCCTTAAAAACGTGTGTGTGTGTCTGAAATTTCTCTAAACTCTGCTTCATCATTAGAAAAAAAAAAACCTTTAGAATTACGCACCTTTATAAAATTAATTTTTTAAGTAAATTTCTTTGACCACTTTTTATTCAATCGCTTACTACTAAAGTGATAATTGAAATCCACAGTACAAAGAAACCCTTTAAGTGTTAATAAGCGACGCCGGCGGCCAAATACAACAGACATTACATATTATCGGTTTTGTTGTTGTCGTTTTAGTATTTTTTATTATTTTTACTATTTTTATTATGCTAATCGATTCTATGCGCCTATTTAGCTAATCGACTTAAGACACTTTCTAGATACATAGCTTACACATATACCATATATTATATATAATTTAAATCTATTTACGTATGCCTGAAAGGTACATATTTCTATAAATAAATTAACATACATTTAACAGTTATACACACTTAAGTTAGTGTAGTCTATATATACATTTACACAGATACATATAATTAGAACTAATTAAATAAACGAACTCCAGCGTCGATAGGGTGGATTGCTGATATAGTCTAGGCCTTGCACATGACTTGCAGAATAGCTATCGATGCCCGTGTAAGTCTCAGCTGCTTCATGTGTAATGGAACTGTATTCACCAACAGGTAGGTACATTTCGCCAATGAAGGGCTTAAAATCTCCATTATTAAAGGCATGAGACTGTAATGGGCTATGGAAGTCTGATGCCTCTTTAATGGGCAAAGTGAGAGTTTCGTTGGGAGTTAACAAATCATATGTCTCTGTGTCTGTGTGATCCGCTGATAATGCCGGAATATCGTATGCTGGCAACAAATTAATATTCGTGCTCAGCTCAAAATCATCTTGTGGGCTTAGATCAGCGTTATGCGAGTAATAAGGCGGTTTTATGTCAAGGGCGGGCTTATAGTAATCATTCACTTCTTGATATTTCATCGAATTCTTGTGCGGGTTTGTAGACTTTGTTTGTGTTTTGACTGGGTAATGGTAAAAATCTGTGCTATCGGGTAGGTTGTAGAGCACATCTCCGCCTCCAGTTGGTGGTAGATATTTCGACTCAATAAATTGATTTAGTACGTTATGTGTTTTCGATTTATGTTGACGTTTGTATTGATGTTGTGGTGGGTATAAATTTTTGCTTTTAACTGGTTCCTTATATTCGATCACTTTATAGGTATTTATATATTTTACTGGTTTTTTATATGTCGCCTTATCATAGTCCCTACTATAGTTTTCAGTGTGTTGGTTTAAAGGCTCATATATATCATCATTAGTTTTCTCAAAATGTGTTGTAGTTTGAAAGTCTGCTAATAAGATATCCTCCAGCAAATTATCATATTGATTATGTCGTATTTGTGTTCTTGTTAATTTTTGTGGATATTTGCGGTGTTCATGTTGATGACGATGATAATGAGTAATTTTGTTAGCGGGTTCATAAATTATTGTTTCGTGAACCTTGTGTGATATTTCTTCAGGTACATGTACTTTAATGTGTACATTTTCATTGCCAAATAATGGTTCACCAATATTGTGGCCGAGAAGTTGGAGAAATAAAACCAAACACTGGGGAGAGAAAAGAGAAAGTAAAAGTTGTCCATAAGTATTCAAATTTAATCTTCGGTTACAATGTTGAAGGCTTTAGAATACAAGGTTATGACATTTGCTGTGGGTGGTTGACGAGCGGGGGGGATTTATAAATTGTGGCAAAAAGCACCCGGAAATTGTAGTTAAATTCCCCGAGTAACTGATATTTCAAAAAAAAAAAAGTCTTTTGTTAAGGTAGTAGAACTGTCCTAAATTATTATGCCAAATATGAGCGCGTTTTGTCAACACAAGCTTATGAGTGGTCTTCAAAGGAGGTCGAGAGATAAAATATTAAAGATGTTAAGATCATGGTGCTTGGAACTCGTCAGGCAAACGTTAGAGAGAGGGTAACAAAGTGCGACATCCCTCGCGAGTCCGTTCGAATGATTTTGGTAGATATTTTGAGTATGAAAAACTTTCTTGCTAGACTCGTTCCGCTAAACCTACATTTTCTTTCAAATGAGTACCGTTAACAGGTCTTTGGACATGTTTGATCGTGCGAATTTTGATCCCACATTCATAAAGAGCGTTATAACTGCCGATGATACGTTAATTAATGATTAATGAGTTTGAAGTGCAAACACGTCAACAATCATCGGAATGAAAGGAAAAAATACGAACCGAAACCAAAAAATTACGATAAAGACGCTCAAGTGATCCTCATTATTTTTGTAGGGGAAGAACAATTCATGAATTTTACTCGAGCCACTAGTGTGATTGAATTTAAAGCCAAAAACGCAGTTAATACTATCGATCAACCACCGTATTCACCAGATTTGGCTCCGTATGATTTTTTAATTGTTCCCCAAACTGTAACTGCCGCTTCGTGGGGCTCGTTTTCAGTCGATCGAAGTTATGAAATAAAAGCCGCTGATGGAGATGAATTCCATCCTAGAAAATGCTTATGAAAAGTGTTTCGAGTACTGAAAAAATTGTTGGCATAAGTGTAACACATCTGGTGGTAATGACTTCGAAGTCGACAAAATAAATATTGATAATAATTAAATATTTTGCATTTCATTTGCTATTTCCGTTTACTTTTTTGTCACAATTTATGTTATATATCTTTTTATAATGATTTTTTCAATTTAAAGCCCTTAACTCCAGAAAGATAACTCCAGAAAGAAACAGTGCTTGAAAATCGTCGACTTGTCATCAGAAGATCTCAACACCTCTTATGGATCGACTCAACAGACACAACACAGTTAATGTTTGGGGCATGAAGCTTGTAAATGGTAGAAAAAAATGGAAGACGTATTGACATGTTTGTGTTAGTTCAAAAGGCGCCAATTTTGAAGGTGATAATAATAAACATTTATATGAAAATAAGTGAAAATGCAGTTTTTCTGGTCAGTCCGACTTTATTTTGATCACTGCATTATGAAGGAAAATCCAGCTAAGCACTTTAACGGCCCTCTTTGAGTAATTATATCAAACTTGGGGTTTAAACCGACTATATTGAACTTCAAAACCGATTAAAAACTTGTTCGTATTTTGGTAATTTTATACGCCGGTACGAAAAAGAATATTTGTACCATTATACATATTTCTGTATACACTCAACGATACTTTCGCTACTCACTAGTACACTCGAGAAGTAATTCATCGCGTAGCATTTACGTATATTTGCAGTAAATTTTATTAACGTTTAATTTTTCGAGATCGACACTTTAACACTTTAACAGTTTTAGCGCCAGCGAACGTTTAAGCCGCTCGCACGTTTTTGACAAATCTTATATGCACATTTGAGTTAATGGCTCGAGTGGCTAACACTCAACATATTTCAAATTAATTTCCAATTAGTGTTTCACCAGCTACACTCATAACGGCCCAAATATCCATAATTACATACACGCAATAATAAATGCCAACTGCATCGCCGCTGGTGACCTGTTGGCCCATCTTCAGACATTTGCAAAATAATCGCGCTAAATTTGCAAATTATCTCATATAAGATGATACGTAAACATATTTTGTAAAGGGTGGCTCCGCAGCAAACTTCTCTTTTAAGTGGTATGATGATTTATTGGCATTTTAGACCAATAGAATACATCATAACTGGACACATTATTTCACAAATAATTATATTCGTATATCTGTGCTATGTTGATTACACTGGTGAAATTATCATACTGAAAAGCTTCCTTATCTAATATTTGGAACTGCCGCATCGAACAAACTGGTATAAATTACGTAAATCCACTGGAAAAATACACATAAAGTAAGCAGAAAAAATAAAGACCTTGCTCTTAATTAAAGAATACTTCCAATTTTCTTGTTGCTGTTGAAAGTGTAACAAAAAAGTGACGAATCAGACACGAATATTACTACAGAACTTCGGATTGTATAATATTCGTTTCTTCTTAATCGTTTCTTATCAATTTTAGCAACCGTTTTCGCAAATGAAAAAATTCAAAAAGAAGTAAACTTTTTTTTAACCACCCGTTATTAATAGTTTTGCATGACTGCACAAATGTGTGTGAATCGCTTAGGCTTTA